GTGTATTTGAGTACAGTGCATATGTGGAAAGATGACAAGAAAAAAATTGGGTTGCAGTTATGTTCAGCTATCGAAAAAGTAATCAGAAAAATCAAAGCTGAGTTTTTTTTTTTACTTTGTAAAAAAATCCTCTTTTTAGAACTTTTATAAATTATAATTTTTGTCTAAAAGCAGACATTTAGGTGTTCTTTCAAAAAAAAAAATTCTTTTTTTTTTGCATCCAAAAATAGAAATCAAAAAAAAAAGCAAAAAAATAAAAAATAAAAAAGCTCTTTTTATTTCTAATCATTTAATATAACTGCCCTAGGCCAGTGTTTATGGCTAAAGATAACTTTGTTCTTATTGCCAATAATCTACTTAGGCATTTGAACATACATCATCATACGACGAGTCAATAAACGGATTTATGAGACACAAGTATAGCAGCAGTGGTGAAAGATACATTCCGTTACGATGTGGGTTAAATTCGCACAATGACGAAAGCGAACTGTATGTAAAGGATGCAGAGATGCCACTTAAAGGTTATAGTTAACCTGTGGAATCTGTAATTCGTAAAAATTTTCAATTACTGTTTAAACCGTTTCATTATTGGAGCAATTTTCAAGTTTAAACAAATAATTTAAAAAAAATTGCTGAAATGACTGTTTAGTGCTGAATGGTTCGCCCGGATATATAAATATTCTGGATGCGTTGAACGGATGGCAATTAGTTAGTGAACTTTGGCAGGCAACAGGTCTTCCAGCAGCATCGTCTTTCAAACATGTCAGTCCTGCTGGTGCTGCAATTGGTGTACCGCTGAATGAAGCCGAAGCTAAAGCTTGTATGGTAGCCGATTTACCGTTGAATCCAAAAGTTCCATCATTAGCAGCTGCTTATGCCAGAGCTAGAGGTTTATACTTTTTCATTAGCATTTCTTCTTTGATTTTGCTGAACGTAATTGTTTCGGTGCTTTTTTTTTGCCTAAGTGGAGTTTCACAAGTTTTAACTTGCAGTTACTTAGCTTTAAGTGTTTTCTTGCATATTTCCTTTTTTTTTTCTTCTCTGTTTGTATTATCGCCGTGTACTAATCTTTGGTGATTGTTAACAACGTCACTGATTTATCCTCCAGTGCATTCGTCACTATTCTAAACGAAAGTTAACCCTGATGTCACTGGAGCTTATG